AAGTTGATTAAAACGCTTGATATCTAAGGCCTTTGTAAACATATCAGCTTCTTGATCTTTTGACCGTATAGACTAAATTTTTACATATCCCTTAGCAACACTATCACTAATGAAATGATGTTTTATTTCTACAGTGAATCAACTAAGTTTTTTGCCTACTTTTTTGTTTTTTGTTCATAAAAAAATTCGAAAAAACAGGTAAAAAGTACATTTATGTTTTCCAATTAAAAATAGAGATTGTGTAAAATGGGAAAACCAAGAATATTAAAATACAAATTTTGGTGCCTTTGTTGTTGCATTTTATTATTTTTCATCAGAATTTGCAGGTCAATAAAGTATTTTGCATTCTTAGAATTCGAGTAAATTTCGTTGGGTTTTTCAAATTATTTTTAAATTACTTTTTGGAATTTATTATTTTATTGTTAAAAGGACGCGTGTTAAGTATTTTTCAATTGCAATTTGGAAAAATCATATCCTCATTGTGTGAAACTGTGATGTTATTATCCTTAAAAATGTTTAAAGGAAAATAATGAGGCAATTTCCACATAAAAAATTAGTTTAGATTTCTAGAACAAGTGTAAATCAATGAAATATAATTATGGGATGTTTAATCAATTACATTAAAAAATATAAAATAGAGTAATTGATGAAATGATCCAAAGAATTATTAGAAAAAACGCACTAAGTGGTCTTTCAAAATCTTTAACTGCCAAAGGGAGGCGACTTGTATCCAAGGAAAACCATTGGACTCCTGATTTATCTTCTCCAAAATCCATATACGAACTAGGAGGAACACTAGGTTTAAATTTAGACCTCTAAACAGACCTTAGGTTGCTTGGAACCAATGTAAAGTGAACTGTCGTGTAGTATCGGAAAAATACTTAATTTATATATTTTAAAATAGAGGTGGTTATCATCACCTATAGTCAACAAAAGCATTATTTTTCAGCTAATACATACAGTTATATATATTTAGAACCCATATCAAGAATACCTATCCAGATCCAAATACGCCTACTGTATCTTATTCATAAAATAAAGCATTTAAAATATGAGGTTGAAAATCAAGATTTTAGCATGTAATAGTTCTATAGTGGTATATGGTGATGTCCCCATACTTAGAGTGACTAGGATGGTACTTAGTGTTAGATTTATTGAATAAGAATCAATATTCTACAATTCTAAATAAAATTTACACAGTACTCCCCAAATAGATGGGGTTTCTGTAATGTAGTTTTTGTTTATCAATACAAAATGGCCAAAAAACCACATTATTTTTGTTATAATATATAAACACTAAACATTTTTTCTAGGTCCAAATCTATCTATGTATCCAATTCAAAATTACTTATTATTTTCGAAATTTAATCAAAGAAACGATAGATTTCATGTTAAGTGAAATATTGATAAATTCTTATAGGTATATAGGTTAAGAAATGTCCAAAATTGTCGTTACACTACTAAAATATCTAAAAAATTATATTCTAATATATAGGAGTAATAAAAATATTAAATTTTATAAAATAATGCAGCAATATTAAAAAAATGAACAAAAAAGTATGGGAATTTCATTATTTGGGGAATAAACTAGTTTCATATTCTTTGTACCCATTAGATAACGTACGATTCTTTTAATATGTTGTCAATGTGTTTCAATTTGATTTTCTCGAAATCATCTCATATACGCCACACAAAAACATATATCAGGCCTACAACTGAGCATTGTGTACATTAAACTGCCAAGTAACTCACGATATGGTTCATTCACTTTCTCATTTATTTTGTTTAAAGGTAACAGCTGAAGTCCTTCTCTTTAAAACCATGCAATTGAAACCTCTCTGAAATATTAAATATTCTCAACGTGAGGGAATATTTATATATATATATATATATATATATATATATATATATATATATATATATATATATATATATATATATATATATATATATATATATATATATATATATATATATATATATATATATATATTTATATTTATATTTATATTTATATTTTTGACCTATGGATTTATGGACTAGGGATAGGACAATTTTCGGATGAACAATTATTTAGAACAGTAAGATATGTATAGGGGCCGACGAAATTAAATAAATTCCTCAAGGGGTCCGCGAGGTAAAAAACGGTGGAAACCGCCTGTGAAAGGCCTATTAAACGGTCTTCCGTTGAAGGCCTATTAGAAGATCTTTCGCTGAAGGTTTATAAAAAGACCTATAAACAATGATAGAAACCATTTGAAACGGTGATAAGGTATCAATACGTTTTTTTTTCTTTTATAAATCATTCATATAAATAGTGTGTTGGTACCGGATCCAAGCATGAATTAAATAACAAATACCAATATTTTTCCCAAACAACGTCTATATAAGACGACAGCTTAGCCAGGTTATATCCTTTAAGTCCGTGAGGATATTCTCTACAGTGCGATAAAAGGCGGCTTAACAATTGTTTCTTGTAAATATTCGGCCACCATAGTGTTTGGAGACAACAAGAGCTTCACTGAAAGGCACACCAAACAGACATCGCACTCTATGGGTGTATGGTAGTGATTCTGCCACAGATTTTGGCTCGCATGGAACTTATGTGTGTCGAATTTCATCGCTATACTCGTATTTTTAAGCCAGTAATGAGCATTAAAGTAATTTTCCGAAGGGGACCTTATATGGGGGGTAGGGTCAATTATGAACCGATCCTCATAAAATTTGATAGGGAGATTTTGGATCATATAATATATACTCGAACTTTTAAAACAGATATGCCAGATGAAGATGTTTTTCGGGGGTCCACTTGTATGGGGGCTATCCGAAAACGTGGACCGATATTGCCCATTTTCAATATCAAATAAACCTTATCTATAGAGAATATTTATGGAAAATTTCAACTCTCTCGTGTAAAATTTAAAAAATATTAGATAGGGCCGTTTGCGTTTTAGGTGACGATATGTATGTTTGACGACCTGGCATATTCTATTTTGTCAAACAGCAATGTATTTTTCGTATCTCGTGTTTGTAGCAAAAACTTTTTAGCTTGAAGTAAAAGCAGTGAGTCGAATTAAGAGCGTAAACACGAAAATATCTGAGGCGAAGCATATACATACATTGAACATTGAGCAAAGTTTTACACCGGCCAAATTTCAATGAGCTGCTCATTATTTGATAAATGAAAACTTGCTTAAATAAAAACAAATTATTATTATATTGTAAAATTCCATAAATTTACCGAATGTGTTCTGTAAATTGTACAAAATATGGCGAAATTTTTAACCGTATTAAGCTGAAAAATTTTCGACGGCGGCGGCTTTGACATTTTGTTCAGCGGCTAGGCTTAGTCGGCTTAAAGCCGAATCGGCGCGGGCCTTTTGTAAGTAAGGTTAGGAATAGAGTATTACCAGATAGTTAAGTGGTAAAATCGCTTAAATTAAGTTGAATAATAAAACGGCTCTGCAAAATAATTGTAAATTTAATGAAAATATTAACTGCGTATGGTAGTTCTCATTAAGAATATTTAATAGTTTTAATTGTTGCTACTGTTGAAATATTATACAATTCAATTTTAGCTATTTAAATAATACATAGTAAAATATGGCACCATATGTTCAGACAACATATCTCATATATAATAGGTAAATGTTATGAAGACTGTAACGAAAATTAGGCCGTTTTTACATTATATGAATTCGGTTACATTTAAAAACAATTCTAAAACAATTCAACAAGATTCATGAAAAAAGTAAATTATTTTTTTTATACTTTACTTTCGTATATTAGACTACATATTTATTTATTTATTTCAACTTAAACCTAAGAATAAATTCTAAGTCTAAGAAAAGTAGCATAGAGCACTAGCATCTGCGGCCATCAGCTCAAGACTACATAATATTGTACATTTTTGTAAAATTCTAATAAGAATATTTGCAAAATATTTCATGTTTGTTTAAACTTTAAAGCCATGTCTTGGTATGAACGTTGCTTTTGAAAAATTCAAATATTATTTAATATGCAGATTAATTTTCGACGTTATTGAAAACGCCATTGTCCCAGCTCACCAAATATTGATCGCAGGACAAAAATTTTTAGAAGTGAAAGTTGGTCTTTAAAGAGAGCTTTAGACATTATTGCTAATTTAGTAGTAAATATGTATAAGTGAAAAGGCCAAAAGTTCAAGAAATTTAATGCAAGTTTAATCAATCTGGCTATCTGTGGAGATTTGTGTTTTTATTGAAAGGGCTTATAGGTTTGAAATTATTAAAAGCTTTTTTCAAAAACAACTATCAAAATTTTGTCTAAAAAACTCTTAAAATTAAATTTAAAAATTGTGTTCCCATCGGCTATAAAATGTTTTTCCAATATATTGTATCAAAATAAATATTAAATAATAACGCTTAAAATACTACATTTATTTAATATATTAATTTTTTAGAATTTCAACATCTTTATCCACATCTGCTACAGCCGGATCTAAACCGAAATTCATTTTTATAACATCAACAAATACTGAGAGAAATATAAAACCATTTATAACGTGATTTAAGACATCGGCGACTTTGCGCTCCGTTTTGCCCTTATGAATGCTGACAAGTGATTGCACCATTAATAGCAAACCAGCACAGATCTATGAAAAATGAAACACAGATTTATATAGAATTTATGAAACATATACATATATTTTTATTATTTAACTTAAGTCTACAAGTAAATGTTGCTATAAAGATAAAAATTAAAATGATTTTGCTCTATTATCTTTTAAAGATCTTTTTTTGGATGATCCAATAGTCGTAAAGGTTGAGATGAGTATTCGATGCCAAACCCGGATATAATCACATTTATTACCGATATGACAAATATAACAACCAAAATGATATCATTTAATATTATAGCGGCCGTTTGATCCTTTTTACGATTGATATTAAGACTTCCAATTATTACAAAGAATATACCAACCATCAGCTACACCATAAAGAAAAATTAAAAAGAAAATTTTATTTTAGTTTTATATCTTATTACAATAAATTTATTTTATTTAATTTATCTACATAGATGTGTTCTATACAAAAATATTTTAATATCAATTGGTAAATTATTAATAATTTACAATTAGTTTAAACCACTTAAGAAATCTCCTTGTGGTGGCGGTAAACGAGAATCAAATGCCGATATAAATAAATTGATCATGGTTACAAAGAAGGCAAAACCGGTTCGAATGTGATTGATTAAATTGGCCGATTGATGAAATTCCGGTTTGTCCATACGACAATCACGCATTAGACTCAATGATAAACTTAATACACCAGACAGGATCTATATTTTAATTGGGACAGGAACAAACCGGGCCAATAATGAACGTATAATGATCAAGTTAGATGATTTACAACAATATCTTTAATATTACAAACACATATTTGGGATATTCACAGTATTTTGTCATTAGAAAATTACAATTTTCAAATAAAAATCTTTTTTTGAGAAAACTAAGAATATCTCAAATATGCTTGAAAATTTTCATAAACTCACCTGCAACACTATTGACAGACTGATAAGTATCAACATTAACTTGTAGAATTGATGTTGTTCTCCCACTTGTAAAATATATTTAAGTTGAGATGCGTTTGCAGTCAGTAGCGCTATATCCAACATTCCCTGGGCAATAGTTTTCTTTGTGGCATATCTATTGGCATCCATACCTTTCATCTAAAAATATTATAATTAAATTAAAATTTAGACGTCTTAACATTTTTGCTTTTAAAATTTCTTAAAAACGATATCGTTTTATATTAAATTCCCAAAACCCAATGAATTTTACATTAGCTTGTCATGGCCCCTTTTGAGACTTTCGGCCCCTTTTGAGACTTTCGGCCCCTTTTGAGACTTTATAACAGCGCCATGAAGTCAACTTTAAAATAAAGGCTTAACATCGATATATCTTTGCCTAGACCTTGAAAATTCATAATTTTCGGTATTCATTATACATATTTTTACCCTACACTACTATGGTGGGGAGTATATTATGCTTTGTAAATATTGTTTATAACGAACATAAATACTGGAGTATATTCCAATCGTCTGAAAATAATTTCCTTATTCGACTATGTTTATCCGTCCGACAACTTCAACGGATGATATCTCAGCATTAACGGCTGATTTTAAAACAATTCAAAGAGTATTTTTATAGGAAACAAGTAAGAATTAATAGTCGGACATGGTCGACCATATGATACCCTATACCAGTGACTATATTACAAATGTTAATTTTTTTTTTTTTAATAATAAAGCATTTAATTTCATTTTTACGTTATTTCAGAAATATTTTAAAAATTTGTTGACAAAAAGGAAAGGATTTTTTAAAAGTGGGGTAATATGGGCCTATTCTTATAAATTTTAGTCTACATTAAAGTTATTTATGAAGAATATCATCGTGTTATTAGTGTTTCTAAATTTTATCTAAGTAATTTTGACCATCAAGTCATTTTCTGAAGGGGACTTTATACGGGGAATAGGATCAAATAAGTCCGATCATTACGAAAACCAGCAGTATCATTAAGACTTATGTATATAAAACGAAGTTTTGCAGAAAGGGGACTTAAATGGCGTTTTTTTAAACTGCAGGATCTCGAATCCCGGGTGTGATGTGAAATTCTGAGGCCAGATTCGGTTTATGGTGGTGAATTTTATTTCTGATGATTCAGGTCGGGTATATGTACTAATACATATTGCGATATAGGCATATTTACTAGCTCTACTTGCCTCGTATGGAACATTCTTAATTGATATATTAAATAATTAATAAAGTCAAATAAAATAAGTAAAAATACTACCAACTGTTTTAGCAAAACGTTAATGACTTGTTAAGGTAGAATATTTTGTAGAAGTACACCTAATGACCGTCACTGGGCTTAAATTCATTACTGCATATATGGATAAGGTGGATCAATTTAAAATTTTTTCTGATAATCTTTAAAAGGATATTTGGAATATGGTCAAAATGTATTAATTGTTATTCTCATAACGGAATTATAACAGTTTAAATGTGTACAAATGTAACGACCGTCACCATGGAATGAGCCATATGTACCTTTTCATTAAGATACACTCAAGAATCAGAATTCAAATAGGCTCTAGACAGAGACATTTCAATATTCGTGTCACGCTCTCTATTTACTTGACATTGAAAAATGTATAATAGTGTATTAAATATTAATGATCAGCTGCAAGAACCCACAAACTGTATTTTTGCGTAGAAAACATTCACATAAAATTTTTCCGTTATTGATTTTTTTAAATAAAAACCTTTTGAGTTATTTTTATCTATAACTAGCTATACCCAGTGTGCTTCGCTACCCTCATCGTAATGGAATAAAATAAATATTATTGTAAATGTATATATATCTGCAATATCAAAAAGTCCCCTATTTAAATTTATGTTTATATATTCAATATTTTAGAAAACTCAAAAAGTACCAATGAAGTACGAAAAAGTAACAAAAGACCTCTTTTATTTAATTTCATGTTCCTAAGTTCAATATTATAGAAAATTAAAAAAGTACCATTTGAAGAACGAAAGATTACCAAAGGGTCTCCTTTTATAGATTCTCATTAACTCCGGGCTCCACATGGTTAATTTCATGTTATAAAAAACACAAAAAGTACCTTTTGAAGAACGAAAAATTACCAAAAAGTCCTCTTTTATATGTTCTCACTTACTCCGGGCTCTACGTACTTAATTTCATGTTTCTAGGTTCAATATTATAGAAAATTCAAAAAGTACCTTTTGAAGAACGAAAAAGTGCCGAAAAGTCCCCTTTTATAGGTTATCACTTAATCTTGGCTGTACTTGCTTAATTTCATGTTTCTAGGTTCAATATTATAGAAAATTCAAAAAGTACCTTTTGAAGAACGAAAAAGTCCCCTCTTATAGATTCTCATTTACTCCAGGCTCTATATGCTTAATTTCATGCTTCTAGGATCAATATTATAGAAAATTCAAAAAGTACCTTTTGAAGAACGGAAAAGTACCAAAAAGTCCCCTTTTATAGATTCTCCTTTACTCCAGGCTCTACATGCTTAATTTCATGCTTCTAGGATCAATATTATAGAAAATTCAAAAAGTACTTTTTGAAGAACGAAAAAGTACCAAAAAGTCCCCTTTTATAGTTTCTTACTTAATCCAGGCTCTACATGCATACTTTCATGTTTCTATTTTCAATATTATAGAAAATTCATAAAGTACCTTTTGAAGAACGAAAAAGTACCAAAAAGTCCCCTTTTATAGATTCTCATTTACTACGGGCTCTAAATGCTTATTTTCATGTTTCTAGGTTCAATTTAATAGAAAACTCAAAAAGTACCAGTCGAAGGACGAAAAAGTACCAAAAAGTCCCCTTTTATAGATTCTCATTTACTCCAGGCTCTACATGCTTAATTTCATGCTTCTAGGATCAATATTATAGAAAATTCAAAAAGTACCAAAAAGTCCCCTTTTATAGATTCTCATTTACTAAGGGCTCTACATGCTTAATTTAATGTTTCTAGGTCAAATTTTATAGGTAAACTGAAAAAGTACCAGTCGAAGGACGAAAAAGTACCAAATAGTCCCCTTTTATAGATTCTCATTTAATAAGGGCTCTACATGCTTAATTTTATGTTTCTAGGTTAAATTTTATAGAAAACTCAAAAAGTACCAGTCGAAGGACGAAAAAGTACCAAAAAGTCCCCTTTTATAGATTCTCATTAACTAAGGCCTCCGCATGCTTAATTTCATGTTTCTAGGTTAAATTTTATAGAAAACTCAAAAAGTACCAGTCGAAGGACGAAAAAGTACCAAAAAGTCCCCTTTTATAGATTCTCATTTACTCCGGGCTCTACATGCTTAATTTCATGTTTCTAGGTTAAATTTTATAGAAAACTCAAAAAGTACCAGTCGAAAGACAAAAAAGTACCAAAAAGTCCCCTTTTATAGATTCTCATTTACTAAGGGCTCTACATGCTTAATTTCATGTTTCTAGGTTAAATTTTATAGAAAACTCAAAAAGTACCAGTCGAAGGACGAAAAAGTACCCTTTTATAGATTCTCATTTACTAAGGGCTCTACATGCTTAATTTCATGTTTCTAGGTTAAATTTTATAGAAAACTCAAAAAGTACCAGTCGAAGGACGAAAAAGTACCAAAAAGTCCCCTATTATAGATTCTCATTTACTCTGGGCTCTACATGCTTAATTTCATGTTTCTAGGTTAAATTTTATAGAAAACTCAAAAAGTACCAGTCGAAGGACGAAAAATTACCAAAAAGTCCCCTTTTATAGATTCTCATTTACTCTGGGCTATTGATGCTTAAATTCATGTTTCTAGGTTAAATTTTATAGAAAACTCAAAAAGTACCAGTCGAAAGACGAAAAAGTTCCAAAAAGTCCCCTTTTATAGATTCTCATTTACTCCGGGCTCTACATGCTTAATTTCATGTTTCTAGGTTAAATTTTATAGAAAACTCAAAAAGTACCAGTCGAAGGACGAAAAAGTACCAAAAAGTCTCCTTTTATAGATTCTCATTTACTAAGGGCTCTACATGCTTAATTTCATGTTTCTAGGTTAAATTTTATAGAAAACTCAAAAAGTACCAGTCGAAAGACGAAAAAGTACCAAATAGTCCCCTTTTATAGATTCTCATTTACTAAGGGCTCTACATGCTTAATTTCATGTTTCTAGGTTAAATTTTATAGAAAACTCAAAAAGTACCAGTCGAAGGACGAAAAAGTACCAAAAGGTCCCCTTTTATAGATTCTCATTTACTCCGGTCTCTACATGTTTAATTTCATGTTTCTAGGTTCAATATTATAGAAAATTCAAAAAGTACCTTTTGAAGAACGAAAAAGTACCAAAAAGTCCCATTTTATAGATTCTCATTTACTCCGAGCTCTACATGCTTAATTTCATGTTTCTAGGTTTAATTTTAAAGAAAGCTCAAAAAAGTATCTGTGTAGAACGAAAAAGTAGCGAAAAGTCCCTTTATTATTAATTTCATGTTTCTATTTCAATGTCATAGAAAACTCAAAAAGGACCAGTTGGAGAATGAAAAGTACCAAAAAATATCACTTGATACCGGGGTTCCAAATAACACCCCATTAGGATATTTAGTGTTTCTAAATTTAATAATTTTATCTAAATTGGATCATTGTGGTTGAATAAAATCAAATTTCCCGTTTTTACCCCTTTTGGTACTTTTTTCCTCCCCATTAACGAAATAAAAATTCTATTCCAAAAAGTTGCAACATCGTAGTGGGAGCCCGTTATTATGTATTCATATGTATAAGTTAATAAACCAAAAACAATGTTTTATGAAAAAAGTACCAAAAATAGGTACAATTTTAACCCCTTAAACGTCCGAATATCCAAAAAGTACTAAATTCATATTTTTATTTTTTCGTTAAGTTATGAAGGAGTCAAAAATATTTTTTGAATGTGCACTGGTTTAAAAGATACATGGGGTGCGAAAAAAGTACCAAAATACAGTTTTTACCCGTTTATTCCCTAAAGGGGCCGAATTTTAAAAAAGTACCAGACACCTGTCCGATTATTTTTTAAATGAACGGCGATAAGCTTTAAACTGTTTTTGTATCTTTTCTAGTTTAGGAGATATAAGGTTACCGAATTTACCCGTTTTTACCCTTTTTTACCCCCTAAACATTTGAATTTCCAA